CGGCGGGAGCGCCTCCGCGCTCCCAAGCGGCGCACTGTAGCAGTGCGCCACCGGGCCGGCCCACTAGCTACACTTTTTAAAAAAAATGTTTGTTCTAGGGTATACATCTTTGACTTATCGCAGTCTATACTCAAACAAGACAGTATACCTCCATTTTGCCCTCCTTGCCTTTGTATTACTATTATACATTTTACTTCTACATGTCATAAACCTTTTTTTTTTTTTTTTGCTTTTAAACTACAGAATTTTCATTTGGTTTTTAAAAATTTTTATTGCTTTATGTGCTCTATTTGATGAGGCACTGCCATACATTCCAATTCTTTAAATGTGGTTTCCTTTAGTTCTTTGAATGTATTTAGAACACTTATCCTACATCTGGTACCCCTCAAAAGAAGTTTCTTTTGCCTATTTTTCTCTATGGGTCACTTTTCTGACTTTTGGATATCTTATAATTATGTGTTGAAACTGGGCATTTTAGGTAAGATACTATAGGATCTCCACGTACTTATCCTCCTCTCCCATCCCAGACATTGTTTTTATTTAGTGACTTGGCTGCACTAATTCATGAAGTCTATCTCTTCCAGTGTACAGTCTCTAATGATATTGCTTAACTTTTTGCCCCTGCATTTCTATATTTTAGGAGCAACCCTAGGAAGCCAGGCTTGCTAAGTCAGCAGCATTTAGTGGCCAGCCACTGATTGGTCAAAGGTTGTGCTTAAGCTCCCCAGATCAGTAAGGTTTACACCTTTTACCATTGGATCTGTGTGCTTTCACTACTTAGGGATTTCTACAAGTTTGCCCTTCATTCATCCAAGGACTTGCAGCTTAGAACTTACCTCTCTGGTTACTCCCTGAGATTGTAGCTTTAAGCATGCACACACTCTTCCTGAACACTAGGGATATCTGTGGTTTTATCCAGGCTCTTTCTGTCTGTAATCCTGTCTTTAAGCTTCTAGCTCGTTATCTATTGAAGTGACCACAACTGTTAGCCACCACTTATCGCTAGCTGATTGCTCTATAGTTTTCAAAAATACTCCGGGGTATAAATTGCTTCAGTCTGTTCCAAATAAAATCAGCCCCTATGACAGTTAATTTTAGGCATCAACTTGACTAGATTAAGGAATACCTAGAGAGCTGGTAAAGCATTATTTCTGGGTGTGTCTTTGAGGGTATTTCCATTGGATACTGGTGTGTGATTTGGTGGACCGAGTGGGGAAGACCTGCCCTCAATGTGATTGAGGCACCATCCAATCAGCTAGGGGGCCTGCATAATACAAAAAGGCAGAGGAAAGGTGAATTTCCTCTCCCTCTCACTCCTGGAGCTGAGACACCCTTCTTCTGCCCTTGGACATCAGAACACCAACTCTCAGACCTGTGGACTCTAGCACTTGCACCAGAAGCCCTCAAAATTCTCAGCCCTTCAGCCTGGGATTGAGAGTTACACTGTTGGCTTCCCTGGTTCTGAGGCATTTGGACTTGGACTGAGCCACATCACCAGCATCCCAGCTTGCAGACAACTTGTGGGATTTCTCAGCCTCCATAATCACACAAGCGAATTCCCTTAATAAATCCTCTCATATATCTATATCTATACCTCTATCTATATCCACATTATCTCCTATAGGTTCTGTCTCTCTGGAGAATCCTAATATAGTCCCCTTGTAATGAGCAATGTGTTGAAAGTCTTTGAAGCTCACCCCAATCCTCCCCTGAATAGAACCTCTGTGCTACGGGGCAGGAGGTTGCACAGAATGGAGGATTAATAGAGAATCAGCTCTTCGTTGAATGTCCCAGCCAGATCCTCCCTGCACAGCAGCCGTGCTTTGGGAGGTGGGAGTACCAGTGGGGGGACAAAGCTGTGGAAAATGCATCCTGCCAAATGGGTATACAGTCTTCCACCCAGAAATACTGGGTATCTCCCAGTTAGATCTTTTGGTAGCTTCAAACAACCCTTATTATTTTGTGGCTCTGGGTCTTCTTTTATTGTTTCCCAGTTGACTAGTATTAACTGTTCAGGGAAGCTAATTTTCAGTGTACTCCTTTGGATTTTTCAAGATATTGACATCAAGTCATCTGTAAGCAGTATTTTAGTGTCTCCTAAATTTCACTTTCATTTTGCTTTCCAATCCTTTTACATTAGCAATAACTTATGAAATTGCAGGTATCAATGTTTCACTCCTTAATTGAAAGAAGCATTTCAAGAGCTGCAGCCTGAACATAACCCTCACTTTTTGGTTGAAGCACTCTGAATTATTATGGAAGAATTCTTTTAGCACATAAAAAACATCTTTACTAAGAATGAACATTTAAATTAAGTACCTGACATCTTAGATTTTAGGAAATCATGATTTTTAAAACTGATATATATTTTTCCTATACTAACTCAAAAATTTATGCTGTTGCAATAATTATATTCTCTTTTTAAAGAAAGAAGACTCTCTAAATGTAGAGGCATTGATTAACAGAAGCCCTGTTAGAGAACTAGTCAAAAAGTGACTCAAAGAAGACATCATCAAATTATCTTTCAAGTTACTAATTATATATAAATCAATGAACTTAATCAAAATCAACCATTTCTATTCTCCAGAAAATTTTCTAATGCCACACTCAAATATAACAATGATGCCCTGAAAAATCCCCCGTGCAAGTTTTGCTGGAGGACATCCCCTATGGAGTCAAGATACTTTGCTAAGAACAAGGATCCTAACAAGCTGCTAAGGCAAAGAATAGAGCCAATAACCCAAATGTGGTATATCCCAAGTTAAGTAAGCAGATGTCAATGATGAAAAGGAATTTTATTTTTTAAAAAACAGGGTTACCTGTATGGAATTAATAAATAATATTTTGTTTTCACCTCACCTTCATTCTCTCCTATCCCAAGAACTATTACTTTTTCTTAGCTATTTCAAATCACTAAAAGAACTAATGTCTATTTCCCATCTAACCTGGACTTTACTTCTCACAGCTCTTCTGCTTTATCACATTTTTAATCCCTCCACAAACTGCATTACTCTTAGCACACAAATAACCTATCTACTTCACCTACTAATCATTTTCATTATATTATCTGCATTTTTACACAAACACATCTACCCTGGCAACTTTACATACATAAATTTTAGTTTTTATACTCTGTAACTTTTACACAGATGGTGTACATCATAAACTGTATCAAACCTGTGTTTTTTAATAAAAATCCCATTCTATGAGTAGACCCTTGAGGGAACTCAAGCATTGGTTGATAAACTATAGCTGGTGGGCCAAATCCCACCCACTGCCTGTTTTTGTAAATAGCTATATTAAAACACAACCAAACGTATTCATTTACATATGGTAAATAGCTGCTTCTGCATTATGAGAGTTGAGTAGTTACGACAAAGGTACCTAAGTTATTTACCATATGACCAATTATTGAAAAAATCTGCTGACCCTCAATGAAAACATCTTTCATAAAACAAACTACATTTCAATTTGCTCTACAGAATACTTAGCAAGATTAAAAAAATAGTTCATTTTTCAGAGTTTAAGGAAATGCCATACAGTGAGAGGCCCATTTCAATGAAGATAAACAAATAGGAAGAGGCCGGTCAGTTAGCTCAGTTGGTTAAAGTGTGGTGCTGATAACACCAAGGTCCAAGGTTTGATCCCATACTGGCCAGCTGCCAAAAAAAAAAAAAAAAAAAAAAGGAAAAAAATAAAACAAATTCCTGACACACAGGTGTGACTGCAAAAATTAAACTCTTCAACTGTAATAAGAACCTCAAACTACTGAATACCAGATTTTGGAATGCCATCATTAGCTCAATTTCAGCCAGGAAAAAAGAAAGATATATCATTTTGCTTTTGATTTTCTGCTCTGGCAATAAAGAAGCTCCAAGCAGGTTTGTCTCTTCAGAATAACCTATGTTACCAAAATCAAAAAAGGTCCATCTAGAATATCGGGGCATGAAGCTTATTTTAAACAGCTTTTACAACTTTAAAGCAAGAAGTATGTATCTCAACACTGAATTTATTTTACTGGTATGGCTATTATGAAATGTATCTTTATAGTGCTGCAATTTATTGGCAAAATAGTTCCTTCTCTATCCTCTCTATTCATGGCATGTGATATCTCATAACAGATCTATCCATAACAGAGCATTTCAATTTTATTGCTGTTATGGTACTGACAAGCATAAACCTCTCTATGGCTTACCTTACCAACACAACCATAGTAAAATTATGGTAAGTGCTATCCTCAAATTTTCATCTATGATTTTGCAAAAAAGAAATTCCACACTTTATTTTGTATAGTTCACTAGCCTTTAAACACACACACACACACACACACACACACACACACACACACACACCCTGAAATCTAAATATTTTCCATTAGAATAAAATTCCCATTAGATTTTAACACAGTAAAAAAAATTCTTGTGTAAACACAAACTTAAGATAAATTTAATTGAAGAAAATGTTCATTACAGAAATTAACAATGCTTACCATTCTTTTAAACACCATATACATTATTAATATATACTGCATATTTTCAATCAACTCCATTCTTCGGCTCAATTTAAGAAACACAATTGTAACAGGTTTTATACAAAAAATACTTCACTAAGAAAGTAGACAAAATGCACAAAAACAGTACAAGTATAATGTGCATAGCAAGATAGCTTGAAGCATCTATATATGGCTTTCTTTAAAATAAAACTATTAGGGGAATGGGCCCATTTGGGACCTACTGTTATAGTTGAAATATGTAAACTGTTTCACATCTTTTTAGGCACTTGCTAACAATAGTGTTCAATCCCTGAAAAATGAATTTACCTAAAAAAAAATTTACATCTGAAATAAAAACCAAGAAAATAACATAGGTAAAGTCATATATTCCTTTTAAATTAAACAACCAGTTTATTAGTGCATGCACAGAACTAAACTGAAAGAAAATAAACTTTTTATGTCAAAAAATTTCTGTGCAAAATTTACATAACTGAGAGGTACAAAAATATGTACAGATTTAATGTCTTTGTTATATACAGAAAAGAAGCCCTGAAGTTTTCATCCAATCAATGAAAATGTTAACACTTGTAGTAACAATGTAACAAAAAATCATATAATATATAACTTTGTAATACAAGAAATCCATTATCCAATGATCCAACAAAATTTGATCCAAACTTACAAGGTGAAAAATTTAAATCTATGATTCTGTTGTTGTCATGAAAACACCCTAAACTCTGCCGGACATTTCCCTTAGGAATCTGTCCTAAAGTTTTATGCACCACCACTGAATCCACTGTTAATGCTTCCCTATTTTCAAATGCCAACAATCAGTATATATCTACTTTGGGTTGTCGGTCACACTGAAAAATTGCTAACAAAAATGGTTTGTCCTAATTTGGACATGATCAGATAACAGTAGTAATTAAACAGACAAACATATGATTTGCTTTGCTAAACTAGCTTCAAAATATTGTTTCTGTAGAAAAATTTTTAATTTTCAAGAAAAGCCATTCCCTTGGAAGTGCTTCTATAGTCCACTCTTTTTAAAGGGGTGGCAAGCAAGAAAAAATACGGCCACTTGGTTTATGAAGAAAAAACAATTTAATTCAGATAAGCATAGTTCTGCACAAGGGGATCATTGGAGAATATACTCAAATCCCAGACTTTAAACTACACAAATACCTTATTTAATTCTTCTCTCAAAGCTGCCCGTCTACTGCAATGCTTGACATAACCATTTAGAAAAAGAAAACCACTCTGGGAGGGTGTTCCAATCTCTGACATGGGGCAGAGCTTAACAGGAAAAGAAGATTTACTTGCCAAAAACTCTTCAATCATTATATAAGGTATAATTATAGTGATTAATGTACTTTCAGAGGAGCTTAATAACCTTCAAAAGAACTATATTTAGCAGATGTACAGTAATTAATTTACCCAAGGTCTCAGTATATCTTCACAAATGATGAGAACCTCCTTCAGTTTCATCATGAAAGAGTTCTCCATCTACAGAGGAGCTATACTTATCAGATTCATAAGGCTGGTGGAAGAAGAGAGGGAATGGGGCTGTGACAGCCATTACCCTCTATTAAGAATCACTAAACAACTAAATTGGGAAAATAGTTTTATCAAAATTTCCTTTAGCCCTAACTTCCTAAGAACACATTTTTGAAAAATTAAATCAAAGTATATCTGTGCTGAGATTAGTTTCTTTCAAAATGTATGTATGCAGTGATAGCATTTTCAAATACCACCCATAAAACTTTTGCTCTTCCATGGAAACATAATCAACTTTTGAAATGTTTAATTACAGGTACTATATCAAAGTACAAAATGTCTGCATTATGCTAATTCAACCCATTGTTTTCTAAGGTAATTTTACTTTTCCCTGGTAATTATGGCAAATCATTCTAACATATTCCAGTCCCGAGTAGCTTCCATTAAATGTCTCTGTCCATGACCAGCCCAAGCATCCTGATTGTCAAATACTCTACCACAAAACCAACAGTTAAATTTAGCTTTCAAAACATTTTGAGAGGTAGTTTTCACAATCTGATAGTTGTTTTTGCTTGTCTTTTTGAGTGTTAACTTTAGCACAAATCTTTCTTTCACAGAACTGACAGGTTTAAATGTTTTGTGCCTCTTGGAAAAATCATAGTAAGTTGTTTTAGAAGGGTTACAACAAACTGGTTTCAGTAAAGCATCGATAGTTCTTTTTGACAATGAAACCTTAAGTACGTGTCCGTTAAATTTAGCAATAGTTTTCATTACATTTACTACTTCTGGTGCATCTGCATCAGGATGATTCAAAACTACAACTGGTTGGTTTCTTCTAGGACATTTCACAAGCTGTTTGGAACTAAAAGGGAAAAGCCGCAAAGTTCTGACTGAATCTTTTGAAAGCCTAGGTCTGTTAAATCCAAAAGTTTCATGGACGTCTTCAGATTTAGCCTTTTCTTTACACTTTCTATGCAAAGTTGCTTTTTTTCTTGGAGGTTCTTGGTAACTATCCCTACACTTTCGTTTACAGTTTCTGTTTCTAGATACAAAGTCAGTTTCAGAATCTTTATTTCTTACATGAGTTTTTATTTTTGAAAAATTTTTTTTGGTAGTTTTTTTTCTATTGAAACTTCGCTCAATTGTACAATTTGTTTTACACCTTAATACCCTTGTCTCTGAACGGTCACTGATACATACTGGATCCTCAGAAGATTCTGGGCATGTTGCAGAAGAAGTTATCACAATTTCATTTGCTGGCATCAAATCATCTAGTATGAAGGGTAAGGCATCTCTAGAAGATTCTGGCTCTTTCTGCACTCCTATACTCTGATCAGACAGTACACTGCCCTTTTGCAATGAGGATGCAGAGTTGCTTACTGACAGATTATTAGCAGCAGTCACATTTAAAACAGGGTTAAAAATTTTCAACAATATTCTTTGTGGTGTTCCTTCAGGTTTCTTTGGCTGTATGTTTTGATAATAAGTACTATTTTGGACTAATTTAGGCTTAAGCAGCTCAGTTTTATTTGGCATCACACACTTGAAAAAGACAGCTTGTTTGCCATCAGGCAAGAGGGTATAAAGAGGTGGTTTCGGAAAAATCTCGTTCTGCTGTTTTACTGAATCCAAGATATTCACCTTAGTGCCCTGGTGCTCAGATAGCATAGGAGTAGGAACAGTTTTCACAGAAGAACCTGCTGACGACGTTTTAATAATGTAAGGCCCTTTTAATGGGGGAGTATTTTCTGAGCTACTTTTCATACTCAAACAACTGCCAATGCTGGAACAAAGTGCAGGTGTGAGACAATTATTGTTTGGTTCCAACTTTAAGAAGGGTGTTTTGGAAGGCTCCTTAGCTACAGTTCCACAAGCTTGAGCACTCTCAGTTTTGACAGCTGGTACACCTTCAAGTTTCCCATTATTGAATGTTAAAATCATCCCAGGTTTCTTGTTTAAAAGAAGAGAAGCAGGTACACCTTGTGTATTAACCAATGGAAGTGGTCTTCCTGAAACAACGTGTAATCCAGGCTTGTTGGCAACATGCAATGGTACAAAAAAACCTTTTGGAGTCTGAACAAATATAGGTTTTTTTTGCTCTGAATTTAGAATTGGGCTCTGCACATATAGAGAACCTAAACTTTGTGTAGTGGCTCGTAGTTTGTCTTTTACAAGCTGTTGTGTTATTATTGCATCTGACTGAGTCTTAAGTAATGTGCCAATACCTGAAATTCTAGGTGTCCTCTCTGAATCTCTCACATCTTGTGACATTGATAGTACTTGTTTTTCTTTTCCACTATATTTTAAATTCGGATCATTTGTAGGCACATTAATACCCACACTGCCAGACGGAACTGAGAAGACACCCTGCACTTTGAAGTCTTTTGAAGATTCAACCATTTTGCCTTCTCCTTCATGTTTCTGAAATGACTGGTCACAATGAAGTGGTACTCCTTTATTTGGAATATTACTAGAGTCTTGTTTTACATCAGACTTTATTTTTAATACATCTTGAAGTAATTGGTTTATTTCAGGTGGCAAAAATTCTGATGCCTGTTGGCTCTGGAGAGAGAAAACAGACGTGATTCTAGGCATCATAGGTGAATCAACACTAGAAATGTCATTCCATTGAGATTTCTCAGTCACACTCTCTAAATTTTGATTTTCATTAGTGTACAGGTTTTGTCCATCAATGTTTTGTCCTGTTTCTAAAACACACTGTTCTTCAATTTCAGCTTTCGTCTTTAAAGTTCCATCTTTATCATTTAAAAGGCTAATAGATGCTAACAGGCTATCTGGGTTTGAGCTCTCCTTCCTCACTAGTGATAAAACTGATTCACTAATTGGTGGCTGAACAACAGTTTTGCTTGATGAAGATTCTCTCTGAGGGTTTTCACACATCGCTGTTCCTGAAAACCTACGTCGTTTATTAGAATTATTCACTTTTGAGTAATTGTGAAAAGGTAATGATCCTTGGTTGGAGGATTCAACAGGTAACTCAGAGTTGACATAATTAACACAATAGTTATGCATATCTCCGCTGTTGTATGCACTTGGTTTGGTAGTATAGATGACTTTATCTGGACTTTTAGTGGTGGAACCTACTACCTCAGGGTATCTCTGAGTGATATGATTTCCCCATAAGTCAACATTATCTCTTGTTTCAACTTTTGTGGTCAAATTCGCTGATGCTGTAACCAATTCTGATGTTGCTGGCAAAGAAGATAGGCTTTTATCATAATCCACTGTTTGAAGCATATTATTCTTTTGAGATATCAAAGCCATTTCTTTTTCTGAAATTATTTTCCCTGAAAGTATACGAGATGAACATGAAATTGGACTGGTTGCTTTCATAAAAACTGTGTCACTTAACTCTGTCGTTAATCCTGTTAAAATTCCAGTGATGTCCAATGTCTGGGGCTGTAAGTTACCAGGACTGTCCTTTGCAGCATCTGACTGTGAGCCAGGTGAATATAAATTCTGTTTATTGGTAGGCAACAATTTTATTACAATATGCTGTTTTCCATCCACCATCTTGAAACCCATAAACTTAGCACTGTAGTTAGCGGGAATTGTTATTTTATTATTTTTCACCATTAACACTGTAGGTCCTTGTACAGGAATCTTCAAGAAACCTAAAGTAGTATTTGATCCCTCTTCAGCTCTGTTAGACTGCTCAGAAGACAAAAGAGTTGGCTTTTCTGGCTCTGACTCAGCAGGTTTATTATTCTCACAGTGTAGTCGTTCATCCTTTTCTTCCTTTAAATGCTCTTGAACAAGACTGCTCTGGTCTTCAGATTTAGTCTGTGTTGTGTTCATTTCTTTAAGCACTTGAGTGTTTTTTTCTGTACTTCTGTCACTTCCATCGTTAATTCTCTTACGTTTCCAGAATGTCTTTCTTGAAGCACCTATTTTGCATCTTTTCAGTATTAGCTTAAGTCCTGCTGAAGTCTTTGCCATTGTTTTTTCATATATGTCTTTTTCCAGTTCTTCTTTTGCATATAAATGTTCTTTGTGCAAAGTTATAACATGTCTTACAAGGTGCTCTCTCCTGGTGGCACCATAGCTACAATATTGACAAGTGAAGTGAAAAGTATCGGAATGAACATGAAGGTGCTTCTGAAGCTCTCCTTTGGTGAAACATACATAATGGCATTTACCACATTGATAATGAATTTCATTATGTCTATGAATGTGCTGAACAAATGTGCCAACATCTTGGGTGGAGAATTTGCACTTTTCACATTGAAAATTACCATTAACACGATGTGTGGATGCAAAATGTTTTGTCAAGTCCAGTAAAGTATATACACTCTCATTGTTACAAATGTCACATTTTACTAAAGTGCTTCTATGGGTTTGTCTGTGCTGTTTAAATACCTGGAAATCATTTGCTGAAAAACTGCACATTTCACAAGGATATGAAGGTAATTCACCATGGTGCCACATTTGAAAGTGTTTCTGCAAATCATTTGGGCTATATGGAGTGCTGTCTCGGCATTTTAGACAGTTGAAATTGAGTATTTTTGCAGACATTTTAATACTTTCTTCTTCAGCTCTCTCAGATTTACGAAGCAATATACACTCCTCTATACAGCTTATAGTCTTTATACTGATAGATTTTCTTGCAGTCTGTGGTTTACTCTGAAATAATTTTCTGTATTTGTCAACTTCATGTTTCAATAGGACTTCATTTGGAATATTTATCTTCGGCAAATCAATTTTTACATTTTTTAGTTCATAATGAAAACTACTTTCTGAAATTTTTGGTTTGGGTACTGGTCTAATAGTATCAACTATCTCATTTTTGACATCATAATCTTTGTTTAAAGTAGTTTCTTTTTCATCACAAAATAACTGTTTCTGTTCAGATGGCATGATTTAACAAAAAAGTTCCAATTTTTTTTTCCTGAAAACTCTTGAAGTTATTTGTAATTTAAACAGGAAACAATACTGTGCCAAGACATCTTCAAAATACCAGGATTTTTCCCACATTAACTCACCTAAAATTAAACAAAGAATTGAAATTTTCACCACAAAAATAATAGTAAATTTTGTATCTTTAAATTCATCTGGCATAATCAGGAATGTTAATCAAACCCATAAATTAAAGATACAAAAGACCTGTTAAGTATTTTAAGAACAGCTTACCAAGAAGTTACGGATTGAAGTAAAAATAACACTAATCTGGAAGTCAGGAAATGCAAGCTCTGTGACACTGGGAAAGCTTCAACTTCTCTGCACCTCAGTTTCCTCATCTAAAGAAAACAACAGTTGGATAAGCACCCTTGAACTCTAAGATTTTTATATTAAAGTGATACTACAGTTTTTAAACAGGATTTTAAAAATATTAACAAGAGAGCAGTAAAAACTTAAGTTCTAATTACACGAATGTGGTTTATCCATGTACAATTTACTTCCTCACTTGTTTAACTGATCCTATAGCTATGACCTTGTGAGAATCCCAAGACCTTTCTCTCCAGAATTTCTACTTCCTTAGTTTCTCAGGGATAATCCATGTTTAAAATAAAAGCTTCACTTATCTAACGAGAACAACAACAAAAAGACATTACCTGCTCTCTCAAGTTATCATTACTAACTGGTGAGAAAAGAATAAAAAGGAAGAAATTAAAAGGAACAGCATCGGGCCGGCCCGGTGGCGCACTGGAGAGCGCGCCACTTGGGAGTGCGGCGGTGCTCCCGCCGAGGGTTCAGATCCCATGTGGAGACCGGTTCCCGCTCACTGGCTGAGCGCGGTGCGGGCGCAACACCGAGGGTTGCGATCCCGTTACCGGTCAGTAAAAAAGACAAAAAGGAAAAAAAAAAAAAAAGGAACAGCATATCTATATCTCCCTGGTGTAGCCTGAAAGTTCATCTATTACTTTTGCAGTTCCCTACCATTTTAGCTGTTTGATTTTTTGTCCCTAGAACTCAGGCAGATGGCAGCAAGGAAAGCCCTTGGCAGATTAGAACGTAACCATTGCTACCCACCTCCATTAATTCAAGCACTTACTGGTCATGTTACTTTAGACAAGTCTCAATCTCTGTGTTTTAGTTTCTTCATCTGTAAAATGGGGAGAAAAAATTAGTACTTCCCCTACTTTTTTCACAAGGTTGTTGTGAAAATTAAATGAGAAGACATACGTAAAGATATCCTGAAAAGTGCTATACAAATCATAGCTACCATTATTACCATATGTGATTATGATGTATGGGAAATGACAATATATTGCTGAGGCTGGAATCCGAGTACTGATGGTTCAGTAGTAAAAATATCAAACTGTTTACTAGGAAAATTACATTTTCTTATTTTTGCACTTTTAAATATATATATGAACATAAAATTAGATAAACTAAAGAAAATAAAGTATAAATCACTTTAAGCTCCATCCATAATGTCCATCCAAAGGACTCAGCTTTAAATTTCAATTAATCCAAATACCCAGGAACTTCATTATTTTAGAAATCCTTTACTGAGGGAACATAATTAAAAGTTAAATTAAATATTAAGAGGTCCTTTTAATATTTCTCAAACTTAATACTTTTGGTTGGGTCTTAAAAAACACATTCATATATATGATAAATTGATAATGAATTAATCAAAAGGGTACCAGCTTACTGAATTTTTTTTACATACCATGCCTACTACAGTAAAATGTTAAAACTTTTACTTTAAATTTTTTACTATATTACATTTTTATTAAATGTATTACTGAATTTTTTTTACATACCATGCCTACTACAGTAAAATGTTAAAACTTTTTCTTCAAAAGGAAAATAAAATAAATAAATGTCTAGAAAAGAAGTTCAATGATACCTAGTGGCTCCTCCACACCAATTGAGAATATTCACCTACAGAGAGATTTCTCAACAGTGACAAGCTTATTATAGTAATACAAAATATCCAAAAATAAATCTGTGTAATGCTACAAAATTACAAATTTTCTAAATACCAACAATTCCATTTCAAAATATCTATACAATTTAAAATTTTTCTTATAAAATAACATCCCAAAGTCTGATAACCAGTGTAAAAATAGGATTTTAAATAACTCAACTAACATTTACTAATACCTACTATGTGTAAGACTTTTTGATGGGCACTCTGCAGAGATTCAAAAACATGGTCCTTACTCTACTGCAGCTTATAATTGAAAGGAGGCAGGACATGTATATTAATACACTGCTTATTCGGAGTTGACTATCCAGCAGCTTCTCCCTTCCAGTACACAGCCAAGTAATAGAAAATAATTAAGTAGAATGTGTGGCAGCCAAAACAGGTGCCACAAAGTTCACTCACTAAAATGCATGCCTTTTCCTCATAAGCAAGCCCCATATATTCTCATGCAGAGTTTACTCTTATTCCAAACAATTTAAATGCATTTGCCTTGGATTTGCAGTCCTTCGCAAATTAAGATGATTAAGAGTCCCCTGGTAGAGGAGAGAAAAAATATCTCTTAAAAAAGGGGTGGGTGGGGCCGGCCCGGTGGCGCACTGCTACAGTGCGCTGCTTAGGAGTGCAGCGGCGCTCCCGCCGAGGGTTCGGATCCCACATACAGACCGGCTGCTCACTGGCTGAGCGAGGTGTGGGCGCAACACCGAGGGCTGCGATCCCGTTGCCGGTCCCGGTCCGGTACGGGTGCGACACTGAGGGTTGTGATCCGTTGCCGGTCACGAAAAAAGAAAAAAAAAAAAAAAAAAAAAGGAAGGAAAAAAAAGGGGGTGGGTGGAGGTTCTAAACAGATATAAATATATTTATATATTTATATATATATATATTTACTGTATATTTTACATATATTTAGATAAATATAAATAAATACATGAACTATCCAAAATAATTAAGTTCATAGAGATAGAATGCAGATTAATTGTTGCCAAGGGCTGAGAGGAGGGGAATGGAGTGACTGCTTAATGGGTATGGGGTCTCCTTTGGGAAGGGTGATCAAAATGTTTTGGAACTAGATAGAGGTGATGAGTGCACAACACTGTCAATGTACTAAATGCTGCTAAAGTATACTCTTTAAAATGGTTAATTTTATCTTATGTTAAGTCTACCTTACTTAAAGGAGGGGGAGGAGGGGGACACAAAACCCTAACAGCATAGCTGGTCAAAATAATCTAGGTGAATAAAACAGTCATCTGTACATCAACAGTCTTGAGGGAATTTCTGCAATACATTACACAGTAACTGATAATCATAATGGCCTCAAATCATGTTAAGAAAGAGTTATGTCACTCTAAGACAACCTTATTTAAGAAGGCATGAAATTATTTAATGTATTTTAGCATGTTAAAACATGTCATCAAAAATAAATGATCTGGAAAGCTTGCTTAAATGGAGTTCTCATTTCTTTGATAATGACAAATGAATATTTTAAATTAGGACAATTACAAAGCATAAATGTCCATCTATGTATATCATAAGCCCTAATTTTGTGGGATGGTGTGCTATGGTCTGCATATTTTCCCCTGCCAAAGCTCACATGGAAGAAAAACAAAGTAATTTATAACTAGCTGGCTCTAGAATGTAATATTCTTTTATTGGGTTTCCCTATTTTTTTTTCACTTACTTTTAAATGCTTGTAAAAAATTTCAAAAAAAATATGGGCCGGCCCGGTGGCGCACTGGATAGTGCACCGCTTGGGAAGCGCGGCGGCGCTCCCGCCCGAGGGTTCGGATCCCACATACAGACCGGTTCCCGCTCACTGGCTGAGCGAGGCGCGGGAGCAACACCGAGGGTTGCAATCCCGTTGCCGGTCCCCGGTCCGGTACGGGGGCAACACTGAGGGTTGTGATCTGTTGCCGGACACGGAAAAAAGACAAAAGACAAAAAAAAAAATATATATAGATTTATAGTAATAAGGGGATATCTTCTCCCTCGATTCCATTTTTCTCCCACAAAATACTGTTAATGTTTTGGCATGTAAAATGTCAGACCATTTTCTATAAGTTCATAAACATATAGCTGTATACACACTGGATCAGTTAGAACTCTTTCAGCTGCAAGTGTCCAAAAATCTAATTCACTCCGATTTAAGCAAAATACAGAATTTGCTACATTGGAGCGGTCTGACAGTATGTTAGTCTTAGGTGAGGCTTCATCTAGAAACACGAACAATGTAATTAGTCTCTGGTATCTCCTCCTTCTCTTGGCTTGTTAGGCTCCAGGTAATGCAAGATGATGGCTGGAAGTTCTAAGCTTACATCCTTCCAGATGCAAGCCTAATAAAACAGCACATCATTACCTCAAAAGCAGAACACAAGTCTTGGGCCAAATTTTCTTAAGTGGCCATCTCTGTAGCCATCACTGAGGCCAGTGAGATATACTTCTCTGAATGACTATGCCTGATTTGCAGGCCCTTCACTGGGGAGCCAGAGGTGCATCAACACCATCAAACAACATAAACTGAGAGTAGGAGATAGAGGATGGTTCCCTAGAAGAAAATCAGAGCACTACTACCAGATGGGGGAATGGACAAATAAACACAAAAGCCATACATATATATGAGATTTTCTCTATTTTTATAGAAAGAGAATACTATACATAAACTTTTGCAACTTGACTCTTCTCACTTTTAATATCATGGACCTCTTTCCATGCCATGCTAGCTCACTGTGTTCAACAACTGCAGAGTTATCTCACAGTATGAATATATCATGGATTATTTAACCATAGCTAGATGGGGGTCTATCCTTTCCTTGCATATTAAAAGGTATTCTAGATTTAAATATATCTTGAATCACAAACTACAGTTGACCTCTGAACAATGCAGGGGTTAGGGGCACCAACTCCCCCGTGTAGACAAAAATCTCCATATTACACTTAATACTCTAAAAAGTACTGTTGGCCTACTGCTGACTGGAAGCCTTACTGATAACACATATTTTATATGTTATATGTATTATAGACTGTATTTTTACAAGAAAGTAAGCTAGAGAAAATAAAATGCTATTAAAATCATAAGGAAGAAAAAATACATTTTTATGGGAAAATGTATGTTGGCCTACTGCTGACTGGAAGCCTTACTGATAACACATATTTTATATGTTATATGTATTACAGACTGTATTTTTACAAGAAAGTAAGCTAGAGAAAATAAAATGCTATTAAAATCATAAGGAAGAAAAAATACATTTTTATGGGAAAATGTATACATATTTATGGGAAAAAATATGTGCATAAGTGGACCTACACAGCTCAAACCCATGCTGTTCAAAGGTCAACTGTATATTAAGAACTCAGAGCAAGATGAATTACAAAACTATCTAAGCAAACATTCTATCAACTACTCTACAACTCTTCTTAATTATCATAATAAAATTTCAAAAGATTTTCAGGGATGTTCTAAACAAGGACAGTTGTTCTCACTAATGAAGTCACTATCTTATCTGATAAGCTCATTTAAGGAGGGGGGTTAACTCAACTACTGACTCATATTCGCCTCTTTAATGTAACAGTGAACAGTGAATGGGATGCCTATTGATTACAAAGAAAAGGCAATTTAAGATGAAGGTTCTGTGAAGGGTTTTAGCAGCCCTAAAAGAAGAAGAGCTAACTAAATGTAACCAGAACAGTTAGGAAGCTGGGATAGAAGACTGAGAGGGATATCTGACTGCTATCCCTAAGCCAAGATGGGGCCTAAAGATAATTCCAGAATGATTAGCAAAGCAGAACACTTTTCTTTCTAGTAGAATGAAGCAGATACTAAGTACTAATAAGAGAAGTCTCTACAATGCAATAATCAAGTTTTAATTAACTACTTCATTAGGCTATTTTGTGTAAGAATTACACAAGCTGATTTAAAAATTGTTACTAAATTATCTGTTAAAAATTGTTACTAAATTATCTGTTTAGTTTGCCTTCAGTGACTAGGGCAAGAGTGGGGAGAGAGAAAATCTGAAGAGGTAGGAAATGGAACTGTCCCAATCTCTTAAATGACTCTGATATGTAACTCAGGAGTCAAAATAGTTGAGAAATAAAACACAACAGACAGTTTTGGCTTCTTCCTTCTCTAACAGTGGCTCACTTGGAGCTTGATCATACAGTTATAAAAAGATCATTAAATACTTTGTTTCTGAGTATCAAAAGACTTTAGATGCCTAGCAGACAAATGTTCTTTTAGTTTATTATTGCTTATGTCCTGTTTCACATTTGACATCTCTTCTACACTATTCTTGGGTTTTCATGTCAGTTCTCACTAACTTTGGCTTCAATACAAGAGCTTCATAAGCTTCACTGGGAACATTTTTGCTGGACAAAAATAAAAATTGCAAAACAACACTGATAAAAGAGACCATCTTGTTGAGAAATCCACTTGGTTTTTATTTAAAACTGTTAGATAATTACTATTAATAACTATCAAATAATTAATGTTGAACATCAATATCTTTTATATTTAACATGGCATATACCCCACCATATTAGTGGAGTTTGCGTATTTTAGATAGTTTTTCGTTTGCTGTTTACCCTCAAATTTTAAGTTTGTGTGAAGAATCTATTTTGTCCTCCACTTTGTTCAACTTGTAGCATGCAGAAGCAGGATTTTAGGTGTCAACCTGACTGGATAAAAAAACCCCTAGAGAACTGGTAGAGGATTAATTCTATGTCTGTGAGGATGATTCCAGAGGAGATTCGTGTGTAAGTCAGTGGACTGAGTGAGAAAGATCTGTCCTCAATGTGGGTGGGCACCATGCAATCAGCTGGGGGCCCAGTAGAACAACAACAACAAAAAGAAAAGGCCAGGGTTCTCAGGCCTTTGGCCTTGGACTGAGAATTTTACTATTGGCTTCCCTGCTTTAGAGGCTTTCAGACTTGGACTGAGCCATGCTACCAGCATCCCAGGGTCTCCAGCCTGCAGACAAAGTCAGGGGACTTCTCAGCCTCCATAATTCCATGAGCCAATTCAACTAATAAACCTCTCGTATATCTTTGTCTACATCTATATATCTACATAGATATTTATATATCCTATTGGTTCTCTCTCTCTGATGAACCCTGACTAATACACAATCAAAGATGATACTTGATAGCAACTTATACTAGGGTTTGCCACCTATGGACAAAAAATGTATTGCATGCTGTGAATATTCCACACAACATAAAAAGAGGAAAGAGAAATTTTATTTTACTTTTAATCCTTCAACCTACTACACTAATGGTTTTTTTTACTACAGTCCAGTCTCTACCCCACCAACAAGAATTACTGGTTTTAAATGTGCTACTTAAACTACCGCTTTCTATATATGTATTATTACCTCTTATGACTTGACCAACATCTCAACAAGTCCTGAAATAATACAATTTTGTAAAAGTATTAAAATAATCTGCAGAGTTTTCTGCACCAAGATAACAACTTAAACTATTTGATACCCTCCCTCTCCCAACTGCCCACTGAAACAACTAAAAAATATAATAAATATTATATTTACTACAAAATGGCTAGGAAGTAGAGAAATATATCATACACATACTGCAAGGGTTTTGGAAGAAAATGGTACGGTTAGAAAAGAATGAAAACATATGCTGACCCACTGTCAACCATCATTATTAAAGAGCAAGTCCCCTAGGGGACATTCATCAAACCAATATTTAATGAATACCTATCTATTATGCCCCAAGTAAGGAAGTAAGTGACAAAATTCTGCCCATTCCCTCCCCTAAACATACCTTGGGAGAAAACGTGAGGCTTGAGTGGAAGATCGGGTGGAGACCTTTGGGTGACAAAGGCTCAGGTTGAGGTATGAGGAGGAAGGAAATGAATCCAGAGCTTTGAGCTGGGCCCAGAGGCCAGACAGAGCAGGGGGTTGATAGCACCAGCTGTCAGAAGAGATGTAAAGAAATTATTTCTGAACAAAGATGAATCTTCCTACGTCCATGGTTATCTTCCTCTGCTTAAGAGTTCTGTCCTTTCTCTGCATAAGAAAATTAGTATCTCTATAATGTCAGAAAAAAATTCTCAACTATCCCCCTCTCCCTCTAATTAAAAAACTGAGAAAATGTTGGTTTATTCTCTAAGAGCTCATGTCAACTCCCAATGCCATCAAATAGATGAGCACGCAGAAACAGCACTGGAGACAGTAGCTCAAAAAAGAGAAATTCTGAGTACTCAGAGAATGCTCCCCTCCATTCTCCCATCCAGCAGTGAAAAACAGTAATTACAATAAGAGTTACTGTACTAAAAAAGAAAACACTAAAAACAAAACAAAATTAAAGAAAAAAAAAATCGAGAAATAATTGGCAATTTCAGGAAGACCTGAGATGATATATTGAAAAAAACAAGAGCATATTGTCATGAAAGAGAGTTCTAAGGGAAAAGGATTAACCCAAGAATCAATTCTATATCCAGGAAAACTCTCATACATGAGGGAAAAGCACACTTTTAGGTATGCAAAGATTCAGAGAATATACTACATATATACTCTTTGTGGAAAAAAGTTTTGAGTAAATAGGCCAGCAAAATCAAATTTCAATCAGAAAGAAAAGAACTCAAAAAAGGAAATAACATAATATAGAAGAAATATCTGCTGACAATAAAATCTACAACACAGAAATATAAATATTGTTAACATAGTTAAAAAAGCAGAAAAAACTGGAGAAAGGGAATATTTGCAGCAACAAACATATAAGAAGCCCTTAAGGAAGAATTAATAATGAAAAACAGGAGAGGTAACAGCAGCAACAAAATTGTGGATGCTGGAAAACAGAATATAAATATTGTTAACATAGTTAAAAAAGCAGAAAAAACTGGAGAAAGGGAATATTTGCAACAACAAACATATAAGAAGCCCTTAAGGAAGAATTAATAATGAAAAACAGGAGAGGTAACAGCAGCAACAAAATTGTGGATGCTGGAAAACAGATAAACAGGTAGTAAATGATCTTGGAGACCCAAGAAAACTTAATCCCAGGCAGACAGTGGGGAAAGCTAAAAACTAACCCATTTTACACTCTCAATTTCCAAAAGGCCTAGGAACTGACAGCACCAATTATCTCTGAAATGGCAGGAAGTAGGGAGGGAGAAACTAAAATAAAGAGAACTTTGGAGAAAGCTGCTGGAGTTTTAGTTAGATCCTAAGATTGTCTTGATCACTCTATCACGCTATTGGTAACTGCTGTTTCCTCACTATAGCAGAAGTCTAAAGGTTTATTCTTTGCAGAAGGTAAAACAGAATCTCTGACATAGGGGAGACCAGGCACAGGTGAGAAAGTGGGCACCATACCAAAGCAAGAAGATTAAATGGCCACATATATATGAGACACAAACCCACACACCATGTCCCCTTTTTTTCCCCTTCTAGGTTGGCTCCTAGGCTAAAACAGCACTCCTTAAAATATGGTCTGCTGATGGTCTATAAACCTTCTGTCACCAGTCCATGACAAGACAGGTACAGAAACTGAAAGTAAGCATTTAGAAACAATTACAGCAATTTTAACAAATGAGATTTTGTTAAATCTACTGATAAAAATATGAACTTATGTCCTGTATGTCTTCAGGGGTAAAAGAAAAAAAAAATCTTGATGTTTCGCCCATCAATTTTAGAAGCATGGGGCCAGAATCTGGAACCTGACCAGGCCTAAGCAGGGCTCCCCAGAGTAGAGGTCAAAGCTTTGTGTTACAAGCCCCTCCATGGGTTCAGACAACTTCCTATCAGCTTCACAGTCATGAGCAGACAGCCAAGGGATTACCAGACATCTGAGGAAATCCTCTAATATTATTTCTAGATCCAGATCAAATAAATGGAAAAAAGTAACTTGTTAGAACAGAACAGAGACCACACTGAGACAAAACATTTTTTTTTCCTTTTTGTCTTTTTTACTGACCGGTAACGGGATCGCAACCCTCAGTGTCGCGCCCGTACCGGGGACCGGCAACGGGATCGCAACCCTCAGTGCTGTGCCCGCACCTCGCTCAGCCAGTGAGTGGGAACCGGTCTCCACATGGGATCCGAACCCTCGGCGGGAGTGCCGCCGCGCTCCCAAGCGGCGCACTCTCCAGTGCGCCACTGGGCCGGCCCCAAAACATTTTTTAAAACTCATTGATTCCTTAGGGATATAAGAAATTAGAACAGGATGCTACAAAAAAGGAACATAGAGAACAAAAAGAACTTTTAGAAACAAGAAAACATAATACAAGCAGCAAAAAAAGGCAATGAAAGAGTTTGAAGGTAAATGTGAGATAACTCCTCAGAAAGCAGAGCAAAACACAGATGAAAAATAGAAACAGGATAAAAAAAATTAGAGAAGCAATCCAAGAAGTCTAATGTTTGACTAAAAGGAGTGCAGAAAAAAAGCACAAACAAAATAAGGAAAGGAATCGTCAATAATTTTTTAAAGCACAGAACTATAGGAAATCAGTTTCAAAGACGAAAATGCCCACTAAGTGCACAGCATGATGAACCAAGACACAACACTACAAAAGATTCAGAACAGTGGAGGCAAAAGAATATCCTACAAGCTTCTAGAGAGAAAAGAAAAAAAAAAATCACATAACGAAGAATTAGAAATGAGACAGTTCTAGACTTCTAAGCAACAATGACGGAAGCACAAAGATAAAGGCGCAATACCTTCAGATTCTGAGGTAAAACTTTCAACTGAGAATTCCATACTTTGCCGAGCTATCAATCAAACACAAGGGTAAAATAAAGACACACAAAATCTCAAAATTTACCTGCTAGACATCCTTCCTCAAGAAGTTACTAGCAGATGCACAGCTAGATAGGAAAAATAAGTTCTAGTGGTGTAACATAGTACTAGCAATCTATAATTAACACTAATTTATCGTATGTTCTCAAATGGCATCTATAAGAGAGGAGCTCAAATGCTCTCATCACAAAGAATTGGTAAATTTTTGCAATTATGAATAATTACCCTGATTTGATCATCATACATTGTATAATATGTACTGAAATATAATTCTGTGCCTCATAAGTACATAAATCAATGTCAATTAAAAAAATAATATTAAAAAGAGAAGATATATTCCACCAAAACAAGAGAACAAATCAAGAAAGAGAAAGTCATAAAGTACAGACAACAGATCAAAATGGAGGAAAGAATAATAAACAATATCCCCAACACAACAGTAAAGAGAATTCCCAGGATGACAGTTGGGCACCAGATCACATGGTCCAGTCAGCCCAAAGAAAAGAAGATTCTTCCATCACTCAGAATCTCCATGACACTGCTATCTTTTCAAACTTAGTACAGAATCCCCAGGTGAACATGGCCCAGATTCTTATCTGTATTGGACTTGTACTGACATAAACTAATAATGTTTCTGTTTTCCCCTCCATGCCCTTATATCCATGTCAGCTGAGGTAACAGGGAACTTAGAAACAAAACTAAAGGACCACCTACTCACTCTGCCAGACATCCAATATCTGGTCTACATTATAGGCTTGCCAGATTCTGATTATGGTGAGCCCTGAGGTTCCTAGGATTCACTAGTGACTTTACACACTGACTTCCCCAAAAGGGGCTCTGGTAAACTATCAGAGAAGCTAAAGCTTAAAGCTACAGTCAGACTATGATCCAGATATTCTGTTCACCTTAACTTCTCCTGGAAGCCATCATCTAAAAATGGCATTGTTACCCTTTCACTGCATAGCTAGATTTAGGCTCACTACCAGATTTACAAAACTAAACAATCTGGTGTTTATACAGTCATAAAAATACCAAAAGTTAGAATGGTAGTTTCATATGGGTTGGGAGCAGAGAGGAGGATATAAGCAGAGAGAACACATTCAGAGTAGAGGGAAGGAGCTCTGTTTCTTAACTTTAATAGCTGGTAAGCAGATATTTCTTTTATTACACTATCTTTAAACCACATACGTATTTTATGCATTTTGTATGTAAATACATTTCACGACAATAAAAATAAAAACACATTACATAATGGGCAAGGAACACAAAGAAGAAAGTCACACAGGAACATAAGTGAAAATATGCCCAGCCTCATTAGAATGCAAAACAAATTAAAATACTAAGAAAACTTTTGCTAATCAGATTACAAAAGATGTTACATATTTCTAATACCCAGTGTTGGTCAGTGAGGAAAAAGAGGCAAAATGATGAAAATACACGCTGGTACAACCTTTATAAAGAACAGTTTACGAAATATATACAGAAAGCCTGGGGGAAAAGAACATAACTTCTGATTGACTTCTAGAAATATATCCTAAAGGAAATAATCAGAAATATTCATTGCAGTACTGCTTACAAAATCATAAAATTAAAAATGAATGCCCACCAATAAATAAAGATTAAATAAGTTATACTTTCATTCAGTGGCATATTATTCAATTTTAAAGACAATATTATAAACCCACACTTATTAACAGAAAGATATCTAAGATACATTAAGTGAAAAACCAGAAAATAAACAACAGACATATTAAGATTTAATTTGTTCAAATATCGATAGATGGGATAGAGAATGGCTAAACAAATGGATAGATGGACCCACATAAACTCACGGTAAAAAGTCAAGAAGAGTACACATATAAAAATGTTTATAGTGGTTACTGGTATCCTTAGATCAGTGTTTCTTAAAATGTTCTCCTTGGATCACTATGGCCTCCACAACTGGCATACTTCCTTATGACAGCACAAGCAAATAGCTTACAGTTGGATGTTATGAGAATCGTGATCTCTTTGCCTCCACACCACAATTTCATGAAATTTTATCAAAAAATGGCATGGATCCATGAAAATTTTGAAATTCTTAAGTGCCTTCTATGATAAACCAACTGAGTTTTTCCTGAACAAACTCAAAATAATGTACTTGATGCCATAATATACAAACTGATTAATGTTGA